GACTCAAACCCGGGTACTCTAATAATGGGATGCAGGCGTCTAAGCTGCCATGCCAAACACATACCCCCAGGGAGATACATATTTTAAAAAGAGCTCAAATACAAGGAGAATGAAATGGTGGTTAACAGAGGTGGAGGAAGGGAGGGAAATAAATGGAGAGAGGGAGGTCCAACGACACCAAGTAGCAGATATGGAGGATGAACAGGTTTACAGATCCAATATGGAGCTTAACAGTAATAAAATCTTATTGCACTAGGGCTTTTTGTTAAAGAAGGACAGCAGCTCCTGCTTACCTGGGCTTCATTTTCTGCAGCATCAGCAGAAGTCAACCATGGTCCAAAAATGTTATATGGAAAATTCCAGAAATAAACAAATTCATTAGCTTTAGATTGTACATCATTTTGCTTGACTGATGAAATCTTGCACCATCTCGTCCTGTTCCACTCTGCTTGTGAATCATCTCTTTGTCCAGTGCATTTTTGTTCTGTCCATGCCCGCCCACTAGGTACTTAGCAGCTGCCTCAGTTGTCAAACAGAGTGACCACGGCTTTGCAGTTCTTGTGTATGGGGTTTGGTATCAGCTGCCTTTTCGGATCTGCACTGGGGGTCCTGGAACATCTCCCCTACTCGTGGGGCGGGGACTGCCTTAGATGTTAGTTGCTCTAACCTTCCCTCCCCCAGAGGAAGTATGTGGCATGACGGATAGGGCAATCTGCTTCACTATGGTAACTCTGTCACTAGCTGCATTCTACAACACTGTGTTGCAAGCTCCTAATATACACAGTGCAATCTATTTTTTACAATGATGTGATAGTTTATTGAATACTGTTTATGGAATTTTTATTATGGAAAATTTCGAACACGCTTAATAAAAGATAGCATTGAATCCACCACCCAACTACAACAATAATGAACTCATAGTCATTCTTGCTTCATTTATACCCCTACGTATCTCCCACCTCCTCACTGGATTATTATTATTTTTTAAAAGATTTATTTATTTATTTGAAAGGCAGAGTTACAGAGAGGCAGAGAGAGAAAGAGGTCTTTTGTTTACTGGTTCACTCCCCATGTGTCTGCAACGGCTGGAGCTGAGCCGATCTGAAGCCAGGAGTCAGGAGCCTCCTCTGGGTTTCCCACGTGGTGCAGGGGCCCAAGGACCTGGGCCATCCTCCATTGCCTTCCCAGGCCACAGCAGAGAGCTGGATCAGAAGTGGAGCAGCCGGGGCTCAAACCAGTGCCCACATGGGATTCTGGCACTGCAGGCGGTGGCCTTACCCGCTATGCCACAGCGCTGGCCCTTCACTGGTTATTTTTAAGCACATCCTACTCATTGCATTATGTAACATGTGAGCTCTATGATGTATTATATTGTAAATGCAGATTGTAAAGAACCATGTGTAATATGATTGCCCTTTTTACAAGATAGGAGGGAGATACAGAGAGCCATCTCCCCAAATGCATACAACAGCCGAGGGTGGGCTGGGTAGAAGCTGGGGCCCTGGAACTCAATCTAGGTCTCCCACGTGAGTGGCAGGGACCCAGGTACCTGAACCATCAGCCCTGCTTCCTAGGCTGTGCTTTAGCAAGGTGCCGGAATCTGGCAGAGCTGAGACTAGAACCCAGGTACTCAGAGAAGGGTTGCCGGTGCCCCAGGTGGCTTCTTAACCGCTACGCCAAACACCTGCCCCTGCTTTCATGTTTCTAAACTACGTATGTCTATAGAAAAAAGTCTGATCTTTGGTGAACATGTATTCCATGGAGAATAGATGGGTGTGGGCGGAGCAGGGGCCGCTGATGCCAGATGTTGCAGCTCCATTCCTCTTGCAGTGGGATCACTTTGATTCAGGCTGCATAACTCACATGGAGAAGCAGGGATGACCAGCTGGTGGAGGTGAGGACTCTTTCTATCAGCCTCTTTTCTCCTTGGCCAGTCTGCAGCTAATAATCATCACGTTAGCTTCTGTGGCTCCAGCAGTTTCTCAGTTTCCTGTCTCTTGCCATTTGCACTGGACTAGTCTTTGTTGTGGAGTGCTAGCCTTGCTTTGGGGATGGTTTAGTAGCATCCTGATGTCTATGCATTGGAGGCCACTGCGTCCTTGTCCCGCCTCCACCAGTTCTTTTTTTTCTCTTTTTGACAGGCAGAGTGGACAGTGAGAGAGAGAGAGAGACAGAGAGAAAGGTCTTTCTTTTGCCGTTGGTTCACCCCCCAATGGCTGCCACGGCCAGCGCATCCCGTTGATCCGAAGGCAGGATCCAGGTGCTTCTCCTGGTCTCCATGCGGGTGCAGGGCCCAAGGACTTGGGCCATCCTCCACTGCACTCCCTGGCTACAGCAGAGAGCTGGCCTGGAAGAGGGGCAACCGGGACAGAATCCGGTGCCCTGACCAGGACTAGAACCCGGTGTGCCAGCACTGCAAGTGGAGGATTAGCCTAGTGAGCCGCAGCGCTGGCCCACCTCCACCAGTTTTAACAACCAGAAATATCTTCAGACATTGCCAAATGTCCCCTGGGAGGTAAACCTAGCCCTGGTTGAGAAAGAACCTCTGCCTTACAGTATGTGTGCAAGTGGAAATGTATGGTGTCCAGGAGACCAGCAGCAAGAATGTTCTATTTCACTTATTTTTCCAGCCGAAGTCTCAAGGAAGATGCAATTTGTGATCTGATAAAAGCTGCTATTGTGGCTTACTGCCCTGCACATTTAATTAAGCAACCTATGACACAGCGGTTATTGATTATCTGCATTTCTTGAAACATGTCCAGAAGTGACTGATTCGAGTTCAACAGGATGACAAAAGCAAGGGTCGTGAATGAAAGCTTGCTTGTCAGCCAAAACAGTGATCAGTTAAATTTTGCACTCCAGCTACCAACCAACCCATTCCATGATTCATTACCATCCTTGACACAGGAGAATATTGGCTGGAAGTTAAAAATGGGAGATCCCTTTCTAGAAAATTCATGATACTACCTACATATAAACAGCCCCATTTATTAGTTAAAAAACACACAGACTCAGTTACAAAAGATAAGGGAAAAGGGTATTTAAATATTGCATTCAATTCGGCTTTTTTTTTCCATAATGGAAACATTTTATTAGAGAACCATAGAAATGAGAAGAGGGAAAATATGAGGTCATCTTACCCACTCTCTTCAAAAGCTGCACTGTTCTGAATGCAGTCTCCTTCTGTCCTCCCCCCTCAGACAAGAATCTTATTAAATATCCCCATTTTAATTAAATAGGGTACTCCTCAGGACCTCCCCACCCCCCGGAGAAACTCAACAGACAGCAGAGGGTCTGTGTCCGTGTTTTCATGATCTCCAAGAGATGACTTCTTTAGTTAGTGGCACTATGTGGATCGCCTCTAAGGATCAGGAGATTACACACAAAGTGTGTGGCAGTTCAATAACATTTGGCCTGCAGAAGCTATTCAACTACTAGTCCTTGTTTTGGGGGCAGGCACTGTGGCAGGCCAGGCATCTCGTATCAGAGTGCAGGGTTCAGGTCCTCAGCTCTCAGCTTCTCTACTTCCAATCCAGCTTCCTGCTAATGCTTACCCTGGGAGGAAGCAGGTGATGGCCCAAGTGCTTGGGTCCCTGCCACCCATGGGGGAGACCCAGGTGGAGTTCCTGGCTCCTGGCTTGGATCTGGCCCAGCCCTAGCCGTTGTAGACATTGGAGCAGTAAGCCAGGAGATGGAAGATTCTCTCTCTCTCTCTCTGCCGTTCTTCCTTTCAAATAAAGAAATCTTTTTTTTTTAAAAAAATAGTAGTTACTTTTATTCTTTGCCAATAAAGAAAATCCTCCCAGGATATGAGGCTGTCTCTCAGAGTTGGGGTTTGGAGTCCAAACCAGAGCCCATCTGCAATGGGGCTGCACATAAGAAAAAGGCAAAAGTCAATCACAAGGAAACTTACAGGAACGGCAAGGATGAGGTGTGGCCAGGGAATGAACTAGATGGAGCTGATAAGTTTTCTGACAGGCAGAAAAACAGCCCAAATGCTTTGTCCAGTGACAGAATGAGGGAAGAGGATTCTAAAGAGAAGGGTTCCATATGGAAAATTCCCCTCGGGGAATGGAGGAGGGCCTCCACCTTTGGTCTCTTGTCCAAGCTGGGCTCTGAAGGAGAAAGATGGAGGAGGCCTTAGGGGCAGTGTCACATACAAGCACAGAAAACAGAAAATGCAAGGGCAAGCATGGAGCATCGAGGTGCAGGAGGGGTGGGGGTGGGGGAGGAAGTGCTAAAAAAAAAAAAAAGAAAAAAAAGAAAAACCCAAAAGCACCCCAGATGGGTGTAATTCTAGCAACTGAAGCCGGGACGCTCAAGGCTGGGTCGGGTGCCTGTAGGTCAGGTGGGATGGCGCGGGCAGCCGCGGAGCATCTTGCCCAGAGATAAATTTGTCGCGCGCCTGTGTGCAAGGCGGCAGGGAGGTGTGTGTGGGGAGCTAAAATCATTAGCTCTGCCGCGCGCCATGGTAACTTCTGTTCCCTCTCCCTGCTGTCAGATGTCTTCCTGGCTGTTTCCCTCACCCCCTTCACCCCCGCACGTTTCGTAACACGGGGAGAAGGCAGGCTGGGCTCCACGCGCGGGTTAGAAATGGAAGCACGGAGCCCTCCTCGCGCCCCTCACCCCCGCCCTTCTTTCTGGAGGGCGAGGCATTGTAAACCTGAGCAGAAATGAGGTGTATTTTTATATGGTATTTAATGGCACAAACGGTTTGACAATCACAACTTGTTCCCTGCTGCAAGACCTGCTGGCAGCTCACCTTTCCCGCCCCTACGGTGCTTCAGGGATAGCGAGACCAGAGACCCCCAGCCCTCCCCCCCAGGCTGCGGCCCGGGATCCCTTAGGAATGAATGCGCGTTTCCCGGCCTAAGTAGCGCGCTGCACCAGGACGAGCCCCCGGGCCCTGCCCCGCCGCCGCCACGGGACCCCGCCCGGGCCGCCGCCCCCAGCGCCTTCCAGCAGCCGGGCGTGCCGGGCAGGGCAGGATAAGGTTACGCCGGCCTTCCTTGCCCCGGAGGGAGGACGGGAGGCGGGTCCGCGGCGCGCCGGCCGCCGGCTGGGGCGGGGGTGGCGGGGGTTCCCGCAGTTGGGCAACTCCGGCCCGCGGGGCCACGTCCCTGCTGCCGGCCGGCGCCGCACGCAAGCTGCCGAGCGCAGCCTGGGGCACTCGGGCCCCGCCATGGCCCGGGAGAGGCCGCCCGGGAGGGGCTGCGGCGCCCTGCGCCGGTGCCTGCTCGGCGCCGCGCTGCTGCTCGGCCTGCGCCTCCTCGCCGAGCTGCGGAGCCCCGGGCCCGGAGCCCACTCCCGCAGCGCCGCGCCCGCCCCGGGCCCTCGGCCGCCCGGGCCGCACCTGCAGCCGGCTCCCGGCCCTCCGCCGCGCGGCGCCAGCAGGAGGCAGGTGACCTACGTGCGCAGCGGGCGCAGAGCGCCGCCGACGGGCGACCGGCGCCGGACGCCGGAGCCGAGCTGCTGCGCCCGGCGCGGGCGCCCCCGCCCGAAGGTCAGTGGCCTCTCGCGCCGTCTGGGGCCTCGCACCCATCCACTCCCTCCCTCGTCGCGGTTCTCTCGCCTCAGGGCTGCAGGCCAGCCCTTGGGAGACCCCGAAGTCTTCCACTGCTTCCTTCCCCCAGGCCGTGCTCTCTTGGACGAACTCACTGGTTGCATCGTTCAATGCCCAGGTCAAATGGAGGACTAAGCAGAGTTGAGTCCGCTTGCATTGAGCGTCCACCGCGTGCCAGGCCCCCTTGAGCGCCGACATCCAGCAGCCAAAGGGCAGGAAAGCCAGGGTTACAGGGAAAGACAGGGCCTGCTGGGTGGGGTTGCCATCCCTGGGTATGCACCGTGAAGCCAGTCCAAGTCCCCTCAAGGCCCAGCACGGGCCCTGGCAGGGTGGCTGGCGCAGGGTGCGAGGCCGAGCCCCTGCACTCCTTCATGAGAACGTAATGGGCCAGAGCCCCTGGAGCAGCTGATCTTTGCGCCTTTCTCTCCCAGGCTCTGCGGAAGGGGGAGACACTCTCCCTCCGGCTGCTGCTGTCTCCAGGAGCCCAGGCTACCGCTGGTCTATACCATCTGCTCCAGCACCTCTCTCTGTCTTTCTGCTCCTCTGCAGTTCCCTTTCAGGTGTTACCTTTTCCCCCTAACTCTAAATCTCACCTCCTACATAAAGTCTTAGCTCTTTAGGAGAGAACAGCCGCCTCCATGAAGCTAACACGGCTTCCATGGAACCTGGTCACGCCTATACACACTTTGGCCAAGGGCTCACCAGGTTTGTGATGTTGCCAGGTGCTCCAGAGCGGAGTTGGGTACAGAGTCCCAGGGCCTGGGCTTCCAGTGGGGTGGCCAGTCCTGTCATTGAAGCCTTGAGCCCTGCTGGAGAGTCCAGGAAAGCTGATGGGTTATGGGGCGTTTATCTAGAATATTCTAGATATTTCTTGGCCCCTTGTGACTTTGTGTCTCATGCATGGCACTCCGACCCCATTCAGAGTCTCTCTCCACATCTGCTTGTTCTGCTGTCAGCTGGCTGACAACACTATGGGTAGCTGGAATCTGTCCTACAAGTGGCAAGGTTTGGGATCTGTAGGCTCAGAGGTCGATGGAGGGCAAGATCACAGCCACACCCACGGTGATCCTGGGATGGAGATGGCTTGGCCAAGGTGGGAGGTGTGGAGGTGGTGAGAATCGGTTGGATTCTGGTGTAGCTGAGAGGTGCACGGAGTTGGGAGGTGACCGTGTCTGTGTGTGTTGGAGTTGGGTTTTAGACATGCCACGTTTGAGATACCCTTGAGACATTCAGGTGGAAGTGTAAAATGGGCTAAGGGGCAGGAGGGTCTGGAGCTTGGAGGAGCCATGCAGGCTGAAGCCACAGTGTGGGAGCGTGCACAGGTGGCACTGAGCTGTGCACAGCAGAAGATTGCCTGAGGAGGGCGCGCGGCCGACAGTGACAAGAGACCTGCCTGTGATCCGGATTGTTCTTGATGAGAGGTTACCTTGTGGCTCTGATAAATGCTTACTCCCGGGGCTCTGAGACCTAGCGATATCACAATCTCATTATTTCAGTGTGTTGTAACTCTCAATGTCTTTTGTTTAAAACAGTAAGAAAAAAGTCCTTGGATTTATTACTGTTTTGAAAGCATTCTCCTTTAGCTTCATAAAGAATAACTTTTCCTGGATTTTCATTTGCTTAGTTATTGACTTATTTTCAGGCTATACATATAATCTCTCCAAATGATTCCATATCGAGGATATTGAATTTGTTTCATTTTTCCATTATTTCACAGTTGAATTAAAATAGTCCTCAAAAGAGGAAAAAGCAGCTATCCAATCTGTCTTCCCCCTTCTGAGCAGAGGGTCCAATATCTCCTATCTGGGGACAATCTTGTTGCTTTTTACTTTGGAGCCCTACAATCAGGATTACCCTTAAGTAATTGAAATAGAAGGTGGAAGCTATTTGTTAAGTTCCTTGGATCTTTTTTGGTTTGTTGAGATGCCTGCTCAAGAATCACCAGGTTTTTGCTTCTGGGTTACCTTGCCCTAGGCACCTGCCAGACTGGTAAGGGAGAAAAAGTTCCATTTTGAAAAAGTTCTATTTTGAGCACAGATTTCTGGGTGGAGGAAAACCTGCAGGAAATAATCGGGTTGCTCAGTGTTTCTTGTGACGGATGCTGGAGATGCAACAATTCAGCAATTATATTGCCACCTTAATCACGGATCTTAAAGAAATCCATCTGTTATAAAAAAGGAAGTGTCGTGTGGTCTTCAAATACTTCTTCCTCTCCTTCCTTATCCCCCCCCCCTTTTTCAACCAAACCATGCCAGAACTAGCTCTAAGTATGTAGACACTTAAGCAAGCTTCATTGAAAGATGGAATTAATGGATATGTTTACTTTGGTGCAAAAGATGTTGAAATCCATGGGTAGTTTTTTTCATTAACATGCGTTTTTTCATGAATTTTTGGAGGAGCCCTTGTTTGCATGGATTTCATGTTTGTCCCCAAATAAACATCTTTTAACTGCACTCTCCATAAACTGTTTAAGGGTCCCTCTTATGGGTTCCACTTTCACATCAGAGAGTCAGAGTGTTAGCACGGTGACAGGAGAGCAAACGACAGATGACGGCTGAACACCACCCTTTACCTGGTGATTTCCCTGGAACCTATACGTTGTTCTTCCATGCTTCACGCTCCAAGCATTCTGTCAGAGTGCCTCCTCTCCAGATTTCGATTACTACACATGCATAAAACATCCCTGTAATCCTCTTACTTTTCCTTCTCTCTGCTTCCTGTCTCTCTGTGTTTCTGTTTTGTTTTGCTTTTCTGTCTTAAATTGCATGGGTGTCTACTACGATTATCCTGAGTAGATCTCTCTGGGGAAGGACGTGTAGAGGATGAGATGTGGACTCCGTGATCTGTGCTCACTGTGCAGCTCTTGGGTGGATGTCACAGATCTTACAGGTTGGCAGCAAAAACAGGGCTCGTTTGCACAGGAGGAGCGCCGACTCGGGCCAAGCTTCCTGAAGAAACGCCTTCTCTCTTATCGGAGGGATTTTACTTGACATTTAACATGTTGGATAGAAAAGTGCCTTCTGAGTCACAGAGCTGCAGAACCCAGCAATGTGCTGGCTTGGGTTGTTGGTTACAGATCCTTTGGAACACTGTGTCGGTAGGGGGAGGAAGCTGTTTTCCTCTTCCCCTGAAAAAACCATATGGCAAAATCTGGTCTTTCTCACTTCTCCTCCTCCTCCTCTTGGTTTTCTAATTCTGTGATTGTCATCAAGAATAAAGAGGGGGAAGAAATGGCCCCTGCTATATCCATCTGCCTTAAGAGTCCTGATTCTTTGCAGAGTACTTGAAGTAGGTGTGACTTGCTTATGAAATATGGCCCAGCAGGAGTTCCCAGCTCCCTAGGTTTTCACGAATACCTACACTCCTGTCCTTCAGGGAATAACATTAATCAGTCTTCTCACAGCGAGCCAAGGAAGCAAAGCACTTCGATTTTTCGTACCGAGTCATTGAGGGTAATTGAATGAGCTGCAGCGGTATGTGGGCACAAAATAGCAGTTGCTATTTCGCAAAGCAAAACCAGTTTTTATGACAACGGTGATGCACCTGAGGTGGGGAATAGGACTCTGCACTGTTTCCAAACCCTGCATTTCCCCAGAGAGCCGGCTGTGGGCAAAGAAACTGCTAATGGAGGCCCGATTATTTTTCAACAACCGGTTGCAGAAGAGTTTCTGTGTAATTTGTCCAGTGCATTTTCTCCAAGGAAAACAATGTCTTGTCAGTGTTTTTGAGCAGAATTGAATTTCCTTTTCCATCTGTATAGTGAAGCCAGACTGTCCGGGGTGGCGGGCTTTTGAGTCTTTCCATCTGTGCTGTGATACCTTCGGAGTGCTCGTGTTTCTAAGGAGGCTGGCTCTGTGTTCTGTGATTCATACACAGTGACAGAAGCGGCTTGGTTTGCCCTGACACACGCACTAATGCAGGAACCCACCAGCGATGAGCTTCTTCGGAAAGCAGCACTTTGGCTGCCTACCTAGCTCACGCTGTCCCTGGGACGTCCTAAGGAATTTTCTGCTAAGAGAGGGTGGGAACCTTTACTGTCCAAGAAGAGTTTTTTGTTCTGTTTCTGTGGTGAAAAGAAAACTGAGTTAGAAGCATGGTGTAACTGACTTGAGTAGCAAGCTGGGTTGCTGGTGCATAAGGTAAATTTGGCCCATGAATTTTCTTTGACCCACATAATTTTTTTCTAAAGATCTTTTTAATTTATTTTAAAGTCAGAGTTACACACACAGAGAGAAGGAGAGGCAGAGAGAAAGAGGTCTTCCATCTGCTGGTTCACTCCCCAATTGGCTGCAATGGCTGGAGCTGCGCTGATCCGAAGCCAGGAGCCAGGAGCTTCTTCCAGGCCTCCTACGTGGGTGCAGGGGCCCAAGGATTTGGACCATTTTCCACTGCTTTCCCAGGCCACAGCAAAGAGCTGGATCAGAAGTGGAGCAAACCGGTGCCCATATAGGATGCCGGCACTGCAGGCGGCGGCTTTACCCGCTACGCCACGACACCGGCCGCCCCACATAGTGTTTTATGCAGCTGAACTAGACGTGTTTCTGTGAGGCTCAGATTATCAGGTGAGGCCCGCCCACACTTCCCTCTGTTTACATTACCTGTCTGATAGCCCTGAACCAGATGTGGCCAAAATTAGCAGTTGTCCTTTCCAAAAAGTGACAAAAGCAGTCACTGCTGCTAAGCGCTGGGTAGGTAGTCACTAGGTAGGGAAGCCGAGGGCCTCCTTCCTGTTCACTACGGCTAGGAAGGTGAGTGCCCTGCGGCTGGGGCCGGCCAGCCCCAGGCTGAGACTCTAGAAAGCCTGCTTGGTTAACCCAACGTTCCTTTGGTTGTAAGCAAGAAAAGTGGACTGTGTTCTAACTGAAACAAAAGAGAGAAAGAGAGGAAGAAAGAAAAGGAGAAGGAGGAAAACAAGAATCAAAGTTATTGGGAAGCCGTGG